ACTGGAAAGTTCAAACGTGAGGGAGCTGTCTCAGGGTTTCTAGTGCTGTGACCAAAAGCAACTTGGGGAAGAAAAGGTTTTTTTCATCTTCCTCTTCCACCTCATAGTCCATCATTGAAGGAAGTTGGGCAGGAACTCAAGGCAGGAGCCTGGAGGCAGGAACTGAAGCACTGTTCTTCCAGGGTCTCTGCTTTAGTTCCTGCCGTGAGTTCCTGCCCGCTTGTACTCCAGAGGGGTAAGAGTCTATCATGGTAGAGAGGTGTGGTAGCAGCAGCAGGTGTGACGATGGTGGCCAGAGCAGGGAGCTGAGAGATCTGAGTGAACTGGAAGAGACTGAAGCCTTTTTTTTTTTTTTTTTTTTTTTTTTTGGTTTTTCCAGACAGGATTTCTCTCTGTACCTTTGGAGCCTGTCCTGGATCTCGCTCTGTAGACCAGGCTGGCCTTGAACTCACAGAGATCTGCCTGCCTCTGCCTCTCGAGTCCTCACCTTCACTGACACACCTCTTGCAGCAAGGCCACACCTCCTCAACCTTCTCAAACAGCGCATCAACTGGGAACCTATTATTCAAATACGCGATTCCGTAGGAGACCTTCTCATCCAAACCCCTACAACCCTCTTCGGTCTCAGGGCTCCTCCCCGCTTAGCTTCTCAGTTGCTCTGGTGGCTCCCTCACCACACGGGACCTTTGCGCTGGCTCTCTCATCCTGGCAGTACTCTTCTCCACAGATATTTGTGTGATTCAGTTCTTCGACTCTACTGTCATGGCTCCAGCATTGATAAGAATCTAGATTCTTTCTCTGATCATCCAGCCCTCGTGCTTCCTATGCCTCTCTCTAGCTTTAGCATCCTCCTTGTTATCTAAACACTAGAGATTTTCCTTATGTGTGTGGCTTATTGTGTGTCTCTTTACACCTCCACAAAGAAGATATTTGGGGGCTGGAGAGATGGCTCAGCAGTTAAGAGCACGGTTCTTCCAGAGGTCCTGAGTTCAATTCCCAGTAACCACATGGTGGCTCACAACCATCTGTAGTGAGATCTGGTGCCCTCTTCTGGCCTGCAGGGACACATGCAGACAGCACACTGTATGCATAATAAATAAATAAATCTTAAAAAAAAGGTGTTTTGTCGTTTTTTAAAAAAGTTTCACAAGCTGGGCAGTGGTGGCACACGCCTTTAATCCCAACGCTCAGGAAGCAGAGGCAGGAGGATCTCTGTGAGTTCGATGCCAGCCTGGTCTACAGAGCAAATTCCAGAACAGCCAGGGCTACACAGAGAAACCCTGTCTTGAAAAATCAAAAATAAGAATAATTTTTTTTTTTACATGAGTGCTGGGTTTATGGTGTGTGTGTGTCAGGGCAGCTTTTGGGAGTCGGTTCTCTCCTTCCACTGTGTGAGTCCTGGGGATGGCACTTAGGTCTTCAGGCTTGGTAGCAGGCACCTTTACCTGGTGAACCATCTCACTGGCTGCAGAAGGGATCTTGTCTCTGTCTATACTGGGTCCACAGCACCCAGGGCAGCCAGTGGTGCACATAAAGATGAGTGTGTTCATGGGAAACCTGCATTCTGTCAGCGGGGCCTACCTGGGTGTAGAGGGGACAGGGAGTGAGTGGCAGGTTGACAGCCTTGGTGACAAAATTTGGTAGGTTTCCCCCTCGCTGAGACTGTCATGGGAAGATTGCATTGTCCTTAGTCTTGAGCTGTACAATTTATAACAGAAGTTAACTGCTTACTAATTAGCAGCTGGAACCATTAATTGGCTATTTGTTAGAGCTCGAATTAATAAACTGGTCTTTCAGCAGGGTCATAACTCTCCCCGTTCCTTGCCCCCCTCCCAGCCAGCCTCCTCCCCGTGACCAGAACTCAGGCTGCTGTGTGATCCAATCAATACCTGCCACCGTATGATTTTCAGACGCAATCTACCTCGCAAGGCGACGACACCATCGGGGCCAGGCCGAGTCTCCCTTCACTCCCCCTCTCTTCCCTTCCAGGCTCTGACTCACAGGAGGAGAGCAAGAGGCTGGAAGAGATGGAGGGCTGTCTAGCAACAGTGAGGTCATTAGAGCCTGCAGCTAGCTGCCCTGGCTGAGCCCTGCCCTGGGAGCCTGCGTCCCTGGCCCATCTTAGTCACACAACCAGCATTAGCTAGTTCTGGGTACTTGCTGGAGCCCAACTGCTGTGCTTTCTCCGAGAGAAAGGAAGGAGGGCTTTCTTCAACAAGGAGTGACGGTGGGCCCCAAGTAGCCTGCCACACTCTGATCCTAGGCTCCATGGCTCCCCTCGGGGGTTCCCAAAGATCGTGGGGGTCTAGCTCTCATGCCCCACACTCTTCGCAGCCCCACATGGGGTCTAGAGCGCTGTTCTGGTGCGTGTAGAGAACAGGAGCTGCTTCTCATGAAAATGTGGTGAGTCGCCTCTGGGCTTGCGTACCTGCGGGTAGGTAGCTAGCTCAGGGGAAAAGAGCTAGGCCCTTCAGCCTGGCTACTTACCTCGGGAGCCTCTGACCATTGAGCAGCTTGTGAGACAGGCCAGACAGGGCCTGTCACGTGACACGAAGCCTCTGCCCCTGTGGCAGGTACCCAGTTCTCTCAACCACTCTGCTGGGTAGGGATCCCACCTACTTGACAACTGGGGAGATCGAGGCCCAGACAGATTAGGGCTGGAACACAAGACTGACGGCATTTTGCTTTCTCTGGGGTTGCCTGCCGCTGTCAGTTCTGGGGCTCGGTCCCAGGCAGCAGGCCTGGAACACTGGGGGAGGAAATGGCTGAGCTGACAGGCGTTCATGAACAGACTGTCGAGGTGTTTACACTACACACAGCGAGTATTCACAAGTGGATTAGCACAGCAAATGTTCAATCCCAGCCTGCCAGGCTCCGGACTTCTGCTCCCCCTCCCTCCCCAACCCTCCTCCATCACAAGGCCTCTTTCTTCTCCAGGGCCGGTGTGTGTTCAGACAATATCTCGGTCCTCTCTGCTATGCCAAAGAGGAGCAATTTGATGCTGTTTGGGGTTGGGGTGGCTAACTGGAAAAGAAGACAACAGCTTCCCAGAATAGGCAAAGCCAGGGAGAGCCTGAGTCATCGGGATGACTCCCTGGGAGCTTCCTGGGGGGTTCTGGAAGCTTTCCAATAATGGCAACACCACAGTAAACCGAGTTACTCACCGCCACCCTCTCAGTTGGTACCCACTTCCCTTTCAGACCGGTGGGAGAGGTGGGTGGGAAGACATTGGATATCTATGGAGCAGATCATTCAGACTGGTGGGAGAGGTGGGTGGGAAGACACTGGATATCTATAGAGCAGATCATGCATTGTTTCCTTTGGGTTAATAGGAGGCTGTGAGTAGAGGGGATGGCTTGTGGAAGGTTGCTTTGGGCTGCTGGATCTAGCCCATGGTGGGCATCATTCATTCGTTCAGTCAACAAAGCTCCAGTTGCTGAGTTGGGCTTGGACACCCTTCACTGAACCTTGGACCCCCACAGTAGAAGGAGGGAAGAAATGAAGAGCGCAGGAACAAGTGTGGACAGCCTGGATGAATCAAAAGGAAGCTGAGAAAGGGTAGGCTGATGGCGCCCCTCCCCACCTACCAGACGCCTCATGCTCTCCACTACTCCTTAGCAGGTCAGGTCTGCCCAGGAGGGCCAGAGGAGAAAGATCCCGGTGGAAAATGGATTTGGAGGAGGGGTTTATTATTAATTTTTTTTTAATTTATGTGTGAATTTAAACGCCAGAGAATCAACTCTTTGGGTGAACAGGTCTTTGAGTTTGGACAGATGCCTGGAGTCATGGATCCACCATCGCAGCAGATCCTGAACAGGATCCAATCTCCGAGCTTGTTAGCTGCGGCGGGTGTCGCGCTCCCACGGGTCGCTCTAGTAGAATCCCTGCGCTCACGCAGATAAATAACGGCAGCGACAGGTGGAACAGGTGAGATTAGCAGGACCCGGGTGGGAGGACGCGATCGGAGGCGCCGGGGAGGTGGCGCGCCTCGCTCCCCAGCCCACGCCCCTCCCCAAGGGCGTCTGGAAGGAACTACGTCTTGGTCGCGGTTTCGAGGAGGGCCGGGTTGAGGTGACGGGGAGACCCGGAGTGCTGGACTCAGGGCCCGGCTTGGCTGCGGGAAGGGCGAGCACCCTTAGCGCCCTTGGCCACGCCTGAAGTCCCGCGGGGAGACAGGGCGCCAGAGAAGCGGGCTAAAGGAGGCACTTGGTGTCCCCGTGGCACTGGGGTCTTGCTGGCAAACCTGTTGGCAACCTGTGGGCCAGGGCTAGGACGCGAGCTGCAAGCGCGTCCTCCTCAGCGGCTCTAGCAGTGGCTCGGCGCCCGACCCGGGGAGAGGCCGAGGCGGCTTGGAAAGGGGCCGGGGCTCTGCCAGGGGCGGGTGGTGGTGGAGGTGGCGGGATTCCCAAGCCGAGCCGACATCCCTGCAGAGCGACAGCAGGCAACCGGCTCTCGCGCCAGCACTGGTCTAGGAGAAAGCAGACGTCTCGGCCTTTCCCTCCGATCCTAGGCTCCAGTCCCGCCTTCTCCAAAGTACAAAACATTCCTAAGTGCCCAGTGCCCTGCAGGCTTGGGTCCCCGCAACGAGCCGCCCGTGCCCGGCCCGCGAGCGTGCGGCGACCGTTTGCACCCGGCCCGGGCTTTGCCAGCCTGGGCTGTGCAAGGGCGGGCGGAGAGCGTGTGCGAGTGCGCGGCTGCAGAGCCCGCGCCGAACCCACGTTCCCGCTACTGTCCTCGGGATAGATGGATCCGTTGCTGCTTTCTGACATTTTTCTGCCAGGGGGCTGGTGGGGGAGGCGGAGATAGCGAGAGAGGGAGAGAGGGATGGGGGCAGGAGAGAAGGAGAGAGAGAGAGAGAGAGAGAGAGAGAGAGAGAGAGAGAGAGAGAGAGAGAGAGAGAGAGAGAGAGAGAGAGAGAGAGAGAGAGAGAGAGAGAGAGAGACTGCTTCCCCCCAGCCCTGTTTTGTTTTCTCTAATTGGTCCTGGGGGAAGCAAGGAAATTGGACAGAGGCTGGGCCGGGCGAGCTGGGCTGCCTTTAATTGGCTCCTTTTTTTAACTGGAGGGGAATCAAACAGGAGAGCGAGCGACAAAGGGTGGGAGAGCGAGAGACCGATCGCGGAGATGGGAGGAGGGAGAGAGGGAGGAGGGAGAGAGGGAGGCGGGGTGGTGGTGGTGGTGGGGAGGAGGAGGTGGAGGAAGCGCGGAATGAAAAGCTCGGAGGGACCAGAAAGCAGCACAGCGAAGCCCAAGTTGCCGAGCGAGCGGAGCGCTCTCGCGGCCCCGGAGCCCGAGTGGCCGCCGTGCCCGGGAGCCCGGCCCGGCCCCGCCCGCTTGGGCCCCCTCGGGCCCAGGCCCCCGGGAGGGGGGCGGGGACGCCCAACTTGGGGCGCGGCGCAGCCCCGCTCTCCCGAGATCGCAGAGCCCGGGAGCGCCACGGCCGCAGCCAGACGGCGGGAGCGGAGCACGGAGACAGGAGGCGGCCGGCGGCTCCCGAGCTGCTGCCCCGGCCTCGGCAAGAGCGCGAATTATTTTCAAAGGACTCAAACTTTCCTCCTTCCCCTGCTGGCTGCGGTCCCTCTTGCTTTGGAATCGTTCTCCGGATTCCCGCGGGGGCGCCGGGACGCGATCGCCTCCCTCGGATTCCTCGGCGGCGGCTCAGCCAACTTCGTGGACCCGGGGACCCGGAGTGCTCGCCCCGGGGCCGAATCCGGTCCTCGCTGCTCCCGCTCTCGACAAGACCGGGACCCCGGGCGCCCCAGCCTCCGGAAAGGGCGCCTAGCCCCGCTCCCGTGGGTCTGGCTGCCGAGCCCTCCGCACCCACTGCAGGACTGGAGCCAGCGGGTTAACCTCCCGGCCTGGCTCCACCGAGGGGCGTCCCCTGGGCGGGGAACGACAAGTTTGTCAGGCATCGGTGGCCTGTTGGATCCGAGCGCGGCCGCCGCAGCAGAGAGGTCCCCCGCGCTCAGCACCCTCGGCAGACAGCCCTGGGGACCCGGGGCTGCTAGGTGGCCGAGCTTTCAGGACCAGGGAGCTGGCTGCTGCGCCCGGTGCGCAGAGGCACCAGGGTCTGGGCCAGCGCCCCCAGCGTCCCCACCCGGGCAGCCGCCCTGTGGGAAGAGGACAGAGCCCAGTTGCCTCCTGCTCAGACTCCTGCTCTCGGTCGCTGCGCTCTCTGTCGCGTCTCAGGGAAAAGGAGGGAAGGCAGAGGGCATCGCGGTGCCCCGGCGGATGCGCCCCCCCGCCGCCTTTCAGGCTGCGCCGCCTCGCGGGGATGAAGCACTGGCCGTGAAGATGGAGGTGACCTGCCTTCTACTTCTGGCGCTGATCCCCTTCCAGTGTCGGGGACAAGGAGTCTACGGTAAGAGCCCGCGTCCAGCTCCACCCTGGCGGAGCCGCGCGGAAACTTTGCAAGATCTTGCTCAAAGTGCGCGCTGCCGGGCCTTGGTGAAGCCCTGGGCTTGCACTCTGGAGTAGATGACCGCGTCCCCGCCCTCACCCGGGCGCCAGGAGACCGAGCAGCCTGCTCCCGAGCCCAGGAGCCGGTCCTAGGGTATGGCATGAAGCTGGGGGTGCCAGGGTGAGGTCTCGGCTTTCTGAAACCTTGCCAGGGGCTGGAGTGATCTGGAAGTCTTGGGAGAATCCAATGGGCTCGGGAGACCCGGAAAGAGCCCAAGCTCTGGGCTGGAGCAGCGGTTTCCACCGAATCTTCTTCCTTCCCTGGCTCAGCCTCCCGAGTGGAAGCAAGCGATCCGGAGTTGTGCGCGGCTGGCTGGCGGGCGAGATGCTCGCCAGCACCGCGGCCGGGCGGCTGGCTCGCATTCCCGGCAGTGGCCACGGCTCGGCCGCCTCTTCTCGCTTCTTAACGGTCTGAGCCGATGCTGGGCATCCCCTAGCCCAGGCGCCTACCGTTCACAGCATCCCTTTTCAGACCTCTCCCGAGCCAGCTCTTGCTCTCCCTGGTTCCCAACCTCAGAACCCCAGCCCTAGCTTCCTTCTGCCTGCTTGCACACACAGACACGTTCAGTCACCGTCCTCAGGAAACGCAAACACCGCTAGCACCCATCCGGCTACGTGTCTAAACTCTGCCTCCCGCCACGCAGCTCTACTCCCGCATCACCAAGCCAACGCTCCGTAGCGCCAAGGGGTATTCTGGCCACATTTTCTCCACTTCATGCCGTGGGTTTTCCCAGCGAAGGCTCCTTGGTTCAATACTACCCAGCCAGGGTCGTCCTCCCAACGTGCACCGCACAGAGAGTCAATTCCTAGAGCCTATGGCCCTGACTTTGCCTTCTCCTGACCGCAGGGTCGGCTTTGTAGTTACTTTTTAATGATGTGTGGCTGGGGAGGGGGGCGCAGGATTCTCCCTCTTTCTCTGGGGCCAAGAATCTAATTATTCCCTTTGAGAGTGGAGGGAGTTGGACCTGTACTGTGTGGGTGACAGAGTCCATGTCCCCCCGACTACTCGCTTTAGGTCCTGGGTCTCTGCCTGTTCCTGGCAAGAGAAAGAAGCGTCCTGGGGAGCGGGTATCTGGAAAGTATACATCCCTGGGCTCCAAGAGCTAGCTGGCTTGGGCTTAATTCCCTGGTGAGGCCAGCCCAGGCATCCAGCCAAACTCCTTTTCTTAATTAGTTTGTGTGTCTCTTACTGCCTGGCCCCTGGCATAGGCCAGACAAGGCAGCCAGGAGGGAGGGCTGCTGCAAGAGGCGGGGTTGTATGTATTGTGGGGGGGAGGGTATGAAACGGGTCCTCCCTGTCTAGGACAGAGGAAGATACCAGAGGCCTCAGAGTTCTCCTTTCTCCAGCATCACCAAAGATACCGGCAGCTTAGCCTCGGCTCCCTTGAAGGGAGTACCCCCAAACGGTCTACTGCAACCTGCTCACACACCCTCTTGAGGTCTCAGCCTACTACCACCAGCCCCTTCCTCCGGCGCTCTGACGACCCCATCTCATGGCTATCTGGTTTGGGGTTCTCCATGAAGTCTTTCTTCATCGGGGTGGCCCCATGTGCATTTAAGGAAAGTTCTCCGGGCCTGCGTAGGAGCCCCGACAATGGGGACAGAGGTCAGGGAACACAGGCCGTGGTCTCTGGAGACCTGTCCTTTCCCTTCTCTGCGCCCTCCCCTTTTCTTTAGTTTCTCCCATCTCTCACGTGCCCCGGTCCCAGCTGCTCTTGTTACAAATCAAAGAAAGGTAGGTCCACTGGGTCCACCCTTGGCTCTTCAGTGGCGTTCTTTGCATCTGCTTTTTGGAGAGCTTGGCTCCAGGGGGGGAGGCTGGGCTGCAGGGAGATTGCTGCTGCGTGGGAAATCTTCTTGGAGTTGGATGGGAAGCAGGAGAAAGGGAAGCTGGGGGGACACTGTGCCTCGTGGTGTTCCAGGCACTGGCGACACCCCCAGCAGGGTTGGGACTGGCCCAAGAAGCAGGGTGGTAGAGCTAGGGCTTGTTCTGCCCCACCCATTCCTCTGCACCCCACAGCAGATGAAGCAAGTGAATGGTAGTGTGCAGGAACGGAGATGTCCATCCACCGCAGCCTCCAGCCCCAGCGTGGTACCTGGCACCCCGCAGGAGCTCCGATGAGGTTCATGGAGTAGATGAAGAGCTGCAGGTTGAAGATGCTTCATGAAATTCTCAGGTGTCTCCAGAGCTTGTCACTCACCAAGACAGAGAGAGGCCTTTTAGTTGAAGCTTTCTGCTCAAGAGAGCCATGGGGCCCTAGGCTTGCAGCCCTAAAAGAGAGAAGAGACCCAAGTGCTGGGTTTCGCTAGCGCTAGCGTGGAGGAGGGAGGCAGTGTGTTAGTATGTGCTGGGGATAGACTTCAGTCGCTGCTGTCATTCTGCCCCAGGCCTGGGCTGAGGATGAAGGGTAGTCTCATAAGAGGGTGAGGGCAAGGCAGAGGGAGGGACCGGAATGGAGGCCTTTGGTGTGGGCGAGGGTCAGTACATCCTGGTGGGAGACAGATGCTCGGAGCCCCAGGCCGTGCATCCTGCTGGGGTCCACCCTCCAGCTCTAAAGCCTGCCATCAGCAGCCTAGGACTGGGGAGGCCCTCTCAGTCTGGCCAAGTGGCTTTGCTCTTCTTTAGGGCCACAGATGCTACAGTGGGCCGCGTGTGGGACCAGATGGTCCATTTGGAGCGGGGCCTCCTCCTTCCCCGATTCTCAATCTCTAGCCCAGTTTTGTTGTTTACAGGGTGGATCCTGTAATCTGCTTTCTGCCAGGCCTGTGTGTGTGTGTGTGTGTGTGTGTGTGTGTGTGTGTGTGTGTGTCTGAGGCTGGCCCCAGAGGTCTAGTTCTGTGACAAAGACAGTAGGCAGGTAAAGGAGGGGTGACTGACGCTCTATCAAGGCGGAGTTAGAAGCTTCCCATCCTCTATCCTGGCTTCCTGTCCCCCTATCAGAGCAGTCAGACTTCCAGGCAGGGGCCGGTGAGCAGGATTCAGCTCCTTACAAAAACACAACAAACCCCTGGATTATTTAATATGCAGGAGTGGGAAGTGACATTATCCTTAAGACAGGTTGTTTGCAACTTACTGGGGGAAGTCAAAATATTTCACCAAAGGTGTCATCAGAAACTACTATCCTATGCTAATTTTTGTGGGAACATGAAGACAGATGTTGAATAATTTGACAAGAGCAACATCGCTTACAGAATTATCACCAAGTCAGCCCACCCCCCCTCTTCCTCGGGGGAGTGTGGGGAAGGAATTTCGGGAAGTGAATTTCCCAGTGTGGGGCTTCTGAGTGTTGCTGTGGGTGGGGGGCGCTTGGGACTTTTCCCTCTGAGTTCCACACCCCTGCCTTGAAAATGGCTGTCTGTCTAGGGTCTTCCCTGGAGAAGGCCTCACCTCCAGAAGCGGGTTGTCCCTAGAGTCAGCAGCAGCCTTGGGTTTTCCTAAATCCCCAAGAAGGTCCTCTCCTACTTTCCTTCCTTTTTCTTCTCCGTTATAGTCATTGCCCGAGGGAAAGATTGTCTTGTGTCTACAAACCCAGGCTACTTTGCCTGGGCTGCCTTTGACAACCCCCCAACCCTGCCTGGGGACTCCCCACGGGGTCATTCTCTAGATCTCTTCCTGGTTTGCCTCCCCACCCCACTTCAAGCAAATGTGCCTTCCTACCCTGCAGGCTGGGCATCTGGGCATCATCCCTGGGTGAAGTTCTAGGATCGGGAAGCGAGATTGGAAGGGATTGTAGGAGCCAGGAGAGCACCCTCGAGGGGTGGGCTGGGACTGTCGGAGGGGCCTACATGTAATTGGCCAGGTCTGTCTCTGAGCTGCTGCTGCTGCCGGGTGGTAAAGCCTCATTTAGAGCCCCGTATTAGCTTTGCTTTGCTGGAACATGGAGGGATGGGCGGGGAGCTCCGTGGGGAGGTGGAGGGAGCTAATCACAGCCGCCAAGGCCTGGCAAATGAATGATGCAGAAGATCGATACCTGGGGTGGGAGTGGAAATCAGGCCATGGTAGCAGGGCTGGCTTCTCCTGGTTGCCCAAGAGGCACGGAGGGGGCCTTGGAGTAGGAAAGCCAAGGTAGGACACGGGAGGATCCCTCCTTCTCAACCCTTTCCCCACAGCCACGTTGATGCCTCTTTCTGTGACTGGGTTCAGAGAGATTGGACCAGAAGGTACCCCACCCAGGAAAGTTTGGGAGACTGGAGATGGCATCTCGGTCTCTCATTCTAGCAAGAGCTCCGCTTCACCTTCTCCCTGTCCAGACACCCCAATCTGAGTCGGTCCCCATGCCTGTGTGTCCGAGAGGTCGGGGTGTAAATCCCTGTGGGCCCTGCGGTGGAAAGCGTGTGCTGCTCTTCCGGACATTGCCAGCAGGGGGCGGGCTTGGCCACCACATCGCTGCCTCCCCTTGCTGGCCTCCTTGCCCTATCCCAGAAGAAGGGGACTGATTCCCCAGCCTTAGGTGGAAGGGGGCTCTCTCCAACTCCCACATACCTGCCTCGGAATCCAAGGGCGCCCACCACGGATAAAGCCACACTTTCTGCGTTTTCAAGATAACTCAATTCTTCTGTAGGTCAGGTGAGAACTTTGTAGGGGCTCAGCTGAGCTTGTGGGGCTGCGACTCTAGGGGGTTGTGTCGCGGGAGGGGTTTGACGCCCCTGCACAATTGCCCCACAGGGTCCCAGGGCAGCATCTCCTTTCCCCCTGAAGACTAAGGGCCCACGTGGCATTTAATAGCTGATGCAGAAGGCTGTCAAGAGCCATGCTTAGCTCAGAAGAATGAATCTTTTTCTATTTTTTTTAAACAATGGATTCTTCTTTTCCCTAAGACTGGATAACACATGCAAAACAAAGTATAAAAAAAGGGAGATTCAGCCTCCACGCGTTGGGTATGGCTCTTCCTGTGTCTTTTA